TAAGGATGTTGGTGTTGCCCTAGCCTAAAGGACTTACATGCACAATCTTTCCATAACTGTAACCTTCTGTAACAACCGCTTATTACACATAGTGCCTGCATTCCACGATTGGGTCTCCTTCCGGAAATTTCTATTTCCATCATTGTACTGCAATTGGACTTAACCACAGGGCTTCGTATTCAATTACAGGCTCCTTATTAGATTACAGAAGCTAAAATCTTTTAATTTTGCCTCCAGCCGAACTTGAACCATTGATCTTGACTGTGGAGAGTATGGGAGCTTAACCTCTAAGCTATGGGACCCACACCCTGTTTTTTATTTATTTTTAATAAAACAAAATTGTTTCTTATATTTGTAATAAAAAATAAGATTAATCTTTTAATTTTTCAAAAGACAATATTAATGTTAATCTAGAGGCACAAAAATTACAAAAACTACTTCAAAATAATAGTATCAAATCTTTAATATCTGCAACTAGTATCAAATTTTCAACATTAACAAATACCACTAGATATCAATATAAATTGCTGTTATAAAATAACTTACTTTCATCTTATTGACAACACTCACACTCATCTTCATTTCATCAACAACTTTCATTTTTGCCTTCATCTCATCAACAATGTCTACCTTCAATCCATCAACAATGCTTATGCTCATCTTCATCTTATCAACAATGCTCACACTTACTTTTATCTCATGCTCATCTTCATCTTATTAACAATGCTCATGCTTACCTTCATCTCATCAACAATGCTCACGCTCACCTTCATTTTATTGACAATGCTCATGCTCACCTTTATCTCATCAACAATGCTCACACTCACCTTTATCTCATTGACAATGCTCATGCTCACCTTTATCTCATTGACAACACCTACTTTCAATTTATTAACAACAATGCTTATCTTCTATTTTCGACAATGCTCATCTTCAATTAAATCAATTAAACCTAATGACTATATTGAGTAATATCAATGAATTAATATTGAAAAACAAGCTCCAAAAGATCTTTTTTTTAAACAATCTAATAAATGCTCATATTTTCCATCTGCTAATAATGAAGATAAATATTCAGAAGATGAATATATGATTTTATGATTACTAAAGAACCATTATATTCTCTTTTAAATATGCCAAATAAAAATTATATTAATTTTTATTCATTTAGTAAATCAAAAAATGGTCTTTTTTTTAAAATGAAACACAACTCCTTTAATGGTTAGAAACATATAAGAATTTAGTATTACAGTCATTAAATTTAAATAATAATAATAATATATTATCCAACAAGGTTAGTTATAATTATTTACTTTATTACTTTATATAA